GCCAGAACATGACGATCGGTATGATTTGTTCATGTTCCAGTAGGTGATTGGATTAGCCAATGAGTCTGACATAGGTTAGAATAGTGAGCGAGGAGTTGAGTCCTGGATTCCAGAGAGAGGTGGCCTGAAACAATGAAAAATCTTTATAATTTTTTTCTTTTTCAATTATTTTTTGAAATTTCTGAATTGATAACAATAATTCAATCTGGTAATGATTTATGGAGACCCAACTCACCGCTAGATCAGCCATCCGCAACAGTAGCCAGTACATATAGGATGGTACCCAGCAGAAGGCAAATACAATCACCAATGTTATCAACATCCGAGTGACCTTCTTCTTAGCAATCAGTATCTTTTCCTGAAAACATTTCTTCCAATTTTGATAAATTCAGTATAAAACTCACTTGATTAGTGCTTCGAAGGAGCATCGTCACATCGAAAGATCCACGTGGCGTTGAGAAAAACGAGGAGAATGATGACCGGCTCGGACGAGCAGAAAGGCCAGTTGTTTGAGGAATTGACAGCGAGTTCTTCTCTTTGAACTGGAACTGAAGTTTGAGAACATTTCTAGAAGAATCCAAATTTTAGCTTACCGTTTTTGACACAACTTTCATACTTGGGACTCTCTGAACCGCACTTACAAACCAATCGGAGAATGATGCTCGGGATGGAAGTGCTGAAAATGGTTTGATGATTTTTGAGCCAAACGATTTTTGACCTACTTTTCTCGATCATTTGTTGCTCGACAGTCGGATGATCACTGTTAATTGCAGTGTTTAATGTTATTATCACATTTCCATAAAGACCAACCATCAGAGCCAATGGNGCGAATAGAAGAGTCTANNTAGTACCGCGCGCTTTTTATTGGAACTACCGTAAACCTGTATTAGAAAAACCCTCTAATAGTAGGTCCATCCGAGGAGGGATTGGAAAAATAGAAGGACCCCTGTAATAGAAGAGCCCTCTTCAAAATATGTCGGTTGAAGTTGAAAATTTCCGTGCGTTTTCAGTGAAAATTTTTCCTGAAATTCCACTATGTCACAGAAATTTATTGAACAAATTTTCTCAAAAACTTACTCAATTTGTGTAAAATTAAAAGGTTTTCATGAATTTTAAACGAGAATGTGCCAATTTTTAGAATGAATATTTTCTTTAAAAGTCACCGAAAAAATAGAAAGTCCCAATCTAATGAAACATCTCTGTAGTAGAAGGGCCCTTCAAAGATGCCCTGGAACAATACAAGGGCCGGCCCTGCTGAAACAGGTTTTACGGTATTCACGGGCACTTGAGGATGTGATGTTTCTGAATTAAATGGGTACAGTAAATTGAATTTCTTTTGGCTCAGAATTTTTTGATTCATCTGAAAATTTTAGTGTAAAGTTCGAGTTTTTTTTGGTAGTTGATAACTGTTCTGTACTAGCACAACGAAGACAGGCACCTGAAAATCTCGCGGGCGGCTTCGATTGACGAGGGCCGACCTCAAATTCGAAACTTTATTAAACGAAAAAATTAATGTGAGCTTAGTGGGATTTTCTGAACCGAACTCAGTTGTTTTGGTATACTTGTACTTGTGGGCTCACCTCTGGAGGTGCCGCCCGTTACCGGCTGAGCGATGGTGGCGCAAGCTGAACGATGGGGTATAATAAAGCGGCACGACAGCAACGCGCTGTGTTAACACTAATTACTGTACACCGTAACGTCAGAATGCATACCGTAATTCCAAAAAAAAATCACCGAAAATCTCCTGTAAAAAAAATTCATACAAGGAAATCCTCACTGAATTCATAGTGACACCGAAACTACAATCGACGAAAACAGAATGAGACTTTCTAAATCTTACCACAGAAACAGAAAACTTAAAACATCAATTGGTAAAGTTGTTTCGTCGTCTGATGAGTCTTCCATAGACTCAAAAAAATCGTATTGCTACCAAACCGCTTTCGAATTCATTTGGGTCCATATATTGTCAGCAAACTTTCAAAGACTGAAAATCGAACACAGAATACGACTGTAAAAGCGAACATTGCACTTTAAAACGAAATTCCTCTATCGACACTGATTTTCCTTGTATAGTATGCAAATGCTCCACCTAACTGCTAACAATCATTTCCGTTTCGAAGATACGATAAGTGAGCACTGAACGATACTCAATCCAGTACGTTATTCTAATTCCTTGGATACAACATTGAAACAAAAAGAAAGATCCTTCTCACACCCCATCTTTCAAAACACACAATTCGCCCTTTTTCTCCTTCTACTCTCCTTAGTCTCTTTTTCCCATTTTGTTTAGCTGCTCATCGTTTTCGCTTTAATTTAATTTCGAAGATCCATCGGGTGCTCTTTTTTCTGGAAACACAAGAGAGTGCACTTTAGTCTGTTTCGTCCAAATAAACAACGTTTCCAAGTTTTCATAGAACTCTTTTTTATGAGTTCTGGGTTGTGGAACATTGTCATAATTCTGCTATTGTTTTTAACAAAAATAATTGAACATGAAAAGTGTTCCAAACAGTAGTAATTGTTTCTCATTCCCAAAAATTATCCGGGCTTCTTGTGAATGTTTTTCTACAACAGTTATTTTCTTATAGGAAAACCAAATTCAGCAAGATTTCAAAAACGCTTCATTAGTTGTCAAGAGATATCACAGCAGAGACTTTTTTAAGAAGCAGAATCCGGAATAAAATACTTATATCGGAATCTGGACAAATTAAATGTCACAGAAGTCGGAAAAGGGAATCCGGAATGAGATTGACTTCTCGTAATACGGACATCTCTGGTGGCCAATTTTTCGAAATCTCTCGTAGAAACCGAATTTTCCAAAAATGCTTTTTTTACGAAGTCTAACTACTCAAACTCTTTTATATTGTAAAACCCAAATTTACATTTGTTTGGTAACTAATTAAATTTCCGGTTTCAATGAGCTTACAGAAGAATCGGTAGATTAGGATTGGTGATTCGTCCAAGTTATGATGGTACCGCGGCGCTACCAACTGAGCTACGCTGGCGCATCTGAGGTGACGGAACAATGGGATTATAAAAGTGGCACGATAGAAACGTGCGTCGAAATCTGTCTCTCCAAGCATCATGAGTTTTCCTGTATGACTCCTATCAGTTCTCTCATACACGTCAATATTTAATATTACTCTGCTCTCTTGTCTTTCGTGCCGTCGATAGCTCAGTTGGTAGAGCGGAGGACTGTAGAGTCAGTGGGTATCCTTAGGTCGCTGGTTCGAATCCGGCTCGACGGATTGCCTTTTGCAAAACACCGTAAAAACTCTATTAGATAGCCAACACTAATTGAATGCCAGCCTCTAATACAGTTCCACCCTATAGCACCTCCGAACAATAGAGTGCCACCACCTAATTGAATGCCAGCCCCTAATATAAAGCCACTGCTGATATAATGCCGCTGCGGGTAAACGATGAAGAAGTTTCTGATTTTTTGCAAAAAATTCTCGGACACAGGTTCTTTGGGACCACGCATTCTTGCATAGGATAGCTATCGTTGTCACATCAACCCCCGGGATAAACTTCGGGTATTTGTTTTGAGTTTCAGTAGGTAATTTGCGCCGAACAGTAAAGTGCCAGCCTCTAATTGAATGTCAGCCCCTAATACAGTGCCACCCCAGACAACCTTCGAACAATAGAGTGCCATGGCTATCTAATAGAGTTTTTACGGCATTTTAGGCTCTAACCGAAATCGTAATTGCGCAATGTTCACACCCAGTTGTAACAGTAATGTTTAAAGTTTTCAATGTACATTGGGCACATTTTTTCTAACAGGTCAAAACATGATCTTATGGAAAAATTCCGCCAAACACTAAATTTAAAAAAAAACTCCGAAAAACTTCCTCTCCCCCCATCTTTGAATTCTAAAACCCAAATTTACATTTGTTTGGTAACTAATTAAATTTACGGTTTCAATGAGTTTACAGAAAAATAGGTTTATTCAAAATTGCTAATCATTTGTTTTCTGGGGGTGTTCAATGAAATTCTGTTGGAAGCGAACACATGTTTTTCCTATTTCGAATATTCCGAATTCCATTTTTTTTAGATTTCAGTATTTGTAATAAGGATTCCTCGTCTCCTTCCTTCCTAAAAATCTTATTTGTCCTAGTTTTTCTTCCACTCCCCACTTCCTTTTCTTTTCTATTCATTTTCAGTCATCCGATCCTTTTTTCTTAGCCGTTTCGTTTAATTTTTATTCCTTCATTCGTTTTTTTTTTGCTTCTTATTTCAACACTTTCTATTTTTAATACGTATTTAGTGTGCCTAGAGACTCGAAGAAGGCAGGGAAAAAGGAGAAGAGAGAGAGAGAGAGAGAGCCGGAAACGTATGTATTTTCTGAATTTTAATGTGTATCAAGATCATTCTGGAGTGAAGAAAGAGAAGGAAGACGGACTAGAAGAGGGGGAGGAATTCTCGATTCGCTTCGATACACATTCCCATTTTTTTATTGACACACTGCACCAGCGTTTCTTACTGTGATTCTCATTTTCAGATTACATTCTCATCCCGATTTTTTTTTCAAAATCACTTTTCTAGATTTTCCTGTATGCCTCCTATCGGTTCTATCATACACGCCAACATTTTATAGCACTCTGCTAACATATCTTTCGTGCCGTCGATAGCTCAGTTTGAAGAGCGGAGGACTGTAGAGTCGGTGGGTATCCTTAGGTGGCTGGTTCGAATCCGGCTAGACGGAATTGCTTTTTAGCGTTTTTTAAAACAATTTAGGTACTTACCAGAATCGTAACTCCGCAAATGCATTTGTTAATTTTGAGATCTGTCACAAACGAGCATTGATACAAAGAAACATTGTGTAGTTTTGACACCCAGTTGTAACAGTAAATTGCCCACATGAAGAACCATTGAATACCACATCCGATATACAAAGAAACAAAGTTTCACACGGTCTGTTCTGATTCTTCAAATTCTGAAACTGTGAAAAATATTTTGTCTCAAAAAGTTCCTAGACAAACGAGATCAATTTAATAATGTCTAATAATTTCATAATTCAGCTGCTTCTTTCATTTTTCCGGAAGTTATTAATTTTCCGATAGCCTCACTCATTCGCCATTTCCAGAATTATGCATTCTTTCCGTTCAACATTTTAATTCTTTAATTCCGAAAATCTCGTCTGATTTTTGAAGTTTTGTATGGCTTCTTCTGGGTATTAGTTAAACGAATTAGTGATAATCAACAAGAGAGATTGGAACACAACATTTTATGTCATACAAATTTTTACTAATCTCGATTTCTTGTTCCGTAAATTAGGAAACTTCGAAACGAAACTTCGAAATTTGGATAAAATTCCAAAATTTTAAAAATTGTGTTTTGAAATCATCAAGAATTTTCGGATAGGGCTTTACAAAATTTTTCGAAAATTTCGAGCTCAAGAATTCCGGAATTGCGGAAAACCCCGATTTTGAAAACTTCAGAATTTCAGAGTTTCCCTTTCAGCGAAAAATTGGTGAAAATTTGACGAAAAGCTTTCGAATACTAAAAAAATTGTAAAGAAATTCTGCTCGAGATCCACAAGGAAGCGTTTCGCGTTCGCCTTTGGAATAACGTAGTCCAGAAAAGCTCTAATCCCAAAAAGTTCTTAGGGAATTATTTCGATCGGAATTATTCCGTTCCCAACATCCTTGGTAAATCATCAAATTTCTTAAAGTTCAGTTGATGAATTGAATCATCATGAAGTCTGTTTTGCACATTTGTTAACGTAGGAGCCCTTCCCCGTTGTCCACTTGATGTCCTAAACTCATCGTAGATCATTGGCTCATTTTCTCGCCAAAAAAAGAAACAAACATGTTTAGTTAACTCTCTTCTGAACCACTCACATAATCTCATTTCTCTCATTTTCATTTTTTATTTTTCTTCCCAACTTCGTCATTTTTTCTACTTAAATATTCAATGGTGTGAACGTTTTTTTTTTTCAAAAAAGACTGTTGTCTCTCTAATCCACTTTATTTTTTCTTCAAAGTATCTAGAATAAAAATAAGAGAAATCTGATCTTCAAGACCGCTTCCGTCCTCTTTTACGTTTCTTCTGGTGCTTTAAGAAAAGAAATAATTGGACAGAAGAAAAAGAGCAGGAGTCTGTCAATCATGTCACTTTTTCTGAGTTTTTCTATTCCATCCATAGTGAGTATATTTGAGGTTTTTGCATTCTGAGACAAGGTGAATTTCAGAAAGGGAGGTTTGTGAATACACGGCGGTAATATTATATACATGGATTCAAAACGAGATTTCGCGCTTTTTTCCATTGCGTCGCGGTTGAAATTCGCTGCGTAGCGACTCACGTAACGTTTATTGCACTGCGAGGATGATACTGTACGCTGCACCCCAAGCCCCCGCGGAGCAGCGCCTTCGGTATAGCTCGATTGCTCTGTTTAAAAGGTTTACCGCTCTGTCAATGGTTGTCATATTAATTTTGTGTTCAGCCTTTTCCACTATACCGAATTTCCGAAACTGTATTCTTTCTCAAATTTATATTGAAAACTACACGTTTCGGGCTTCAATTGCGGTCGGTTGAAAACTGACGACCGCCGGTCGAGCTAACCGAGTTCGTGCATTCACACGTCAACATACTTGTAACGGACCGGGCCCGTCATTTCACAAGTTTTGAAAATTCAAAAAACACATAAGGGGGGACCCTTATTATCGCTGTCTGAAAAAAATGAAGGTTAGAGAATTTTTTTGCAGTCTGACTACGGTAGCGATGCCTAAATAGCACATATTAGGTGGAGACGCAGATTTTTTTCTCTGCGTCTCAACCGTCATTTCTTCAGACAGCGATAATATGCGATTTTATTCGATCAAAACATTTTTCCAAGTTTTTTCGATCTTTTTCGATAAAATAGACAAACAATCCAAAAAAAATGGAGAAAATTATATTAGTCGTAAAGAAAAGGAAGAACCGCTAAGGAGTGACTACCCGCATAAAGCTCAAAATTTGGCCCAAAAACACAGGATTTTTGATACCGGGCCCGGGCCTTGAAATTTTCCTCAGGCCCGGAATTTTACAAGTATGCGGCCGATCGATCGGTAAATTTTCCGACCAAACGGAAGCCTTAATTGCAACAAACACGTTCCAAGTATATTACAATCATTGTCGTAGAAAGTATCAATGTTTTTTTCAGTCTTTTCCACTATATGGGGTATTTGAAACTGTATGTTTTCTCTACAGTACCATTTTTCTAACGGCTTTTTGAAATTCAATTTTGATGACGTAACCATCTCTATTTCCACTAGAACAAAAGACAAAACAGAAACAGAAAGCTCTCTTGATTCTTCTTCAGAATTCTTCTTCCACTTCTTTTTTTCAAGTCTGTCTCACTTGTTGAATCATTTATGAGCTGCAATCAAAACCACTCATATCCCCTCCCCTCCTTCTATTTTTCTTTTCTGAGCTACAGATTCTCGCAGTTGGTGGCTTCTTCTATTTGATTCTGAAGATGTTGAAAGGAAGTCACATAGACACTAAAAATTACTGTAGATATTCGTTTTTTCATTCTTTTGTTTTGTTTTTGACCTACTTTCTAGTTTTGATTATGCCAATTTGAGCTAATCAAGACACAAATATGTATGCATAAATATATTGAGACTAATCAGGGGAAACAAATAATCAGAAATCTAAATGGGTCTGGGGTTTAGAAATAAATCAAGATTTCTAGAAGAAGGTTAATCATAACATTGACATTTGATTCGATAAATTTTTGACTCTTTTTTCAATTTCGAGCTTGATAAATAAATAAAAAGAGAAACTTCAAGTTCTTCTAAAGCTTCTAGATTTACGAAAATAATTTTTTTCCATTTTTGGCAATTTTTTTGCTTCTCCATCGAAAAAAATAGCCAAAAAATGTCGATCAATCTAGAAAAATATGCTAGAAATAAAAATTTTTCTCTCAAAATCTAGAAACTTTGAAGGCGTACAAAATTTAACGGCATTAGACGACAATTTCTGGCATGACGCATCAAAAAAATAGGGGCGGGGACTTCCTTCTGGCTTCCTACGCTTTTACAGTTTTGTGTAGATATGTGATTCATTTTTTATTTTGGAGTTGCAAATATTTTTTAAATATTTTATGTTACAAAATGCTTTCAAAGTTGTTAGCTGGTCTGTGAGAAAAATATTACCAAATCGTTTCGATTTCATTCTTTTTGAATCAAAATTCAGATTTGAATCTTATTTGTAATGCCCGTCCAAATTTCCCAATTCTGGTATTTCTGAGCCCAGAAATGAGTCGAAAGTGACGCCCTTATTCCAAAATTCACCGTTCGCACAGTTGAAACCGGTGCGACAGCACACCCCCATTGGACATTTGGACGTCACTTTGGGCTGCTTTCTGGGCTCAGAAATTCCATATTTGGGAACTTTGGACGCAGCATAATCAAATAATTGAGCAAGTTTCAAAAGTTCCGTATCTTTCAAATCTGACTCATTTTGCATGCTAATTGTAATAAAATGCAATTTTAAAAAATGATTATACTAATTTTCGCAAGAACTCTAGCTTCTCAGCTTTCGAAATTTCAAAAATGTGTCAAAACAACGTCCAATTTTCTAACTCTAATTTCGAACCCAACAAATCTTCAAAAGTTCATTCATTTACATATTCTCTCAATATATTTTCCTTTCCCACCCAAATGTTCAATTATTCCTATTCCCGCCCTTTTCATTGCAATAACTGGTTACTTTTCTCCTTTTCAAATCTAAATCCCTTTTCATAAGTTTTTGGTCCCTCCGGCTATTTTTGGAAGTATTGGAAGAAAAAAAAAGAAGCAAAAGAAGGTCATTCTCTTTCCGTTTTCATTCCTTCACCTCCTTCTTTCCTCCTCCTACGCCTTCCAGATTTCTTCGAACTTTTCTTCTTTTTCTGATGAAAATTCTTGTTGTTTTCCATACTGA